TCTTACTTCTTAAGAAGTCCCATAAGCCAACTGAATGGCTTGTACGGGTTAGGGGTAGAAACGGACCGCGAGCTTAAAGTCCCCTCCGAAGGACTATTACACAATAGGACAAACACAAATAAACAGCCATAGCCCTGGTGGGATTCGAACCCACGACCTCCGGCTTGTAGTCAGCAGCACTAACCACTAGTCCACCGTCGGCGATACTGTACTAAGAAGACTAAGGGAACATAATTTAGTGCCCCATCGACCTGCCACTGGCAGGGCCTATTTTACCTAAAGGCCCATAAGGCCCGGGCCTTGGGCCCGGAGGAAAATGGGGCCCGAAAAAAGCCCTTGAAAAAAAATTATAAACCATTTCAATTTAAACTTAAAATAAAGCCATACCTATAATAATAAAGAAAATTAAATATTAAATAAAAGTGGCTTAGATTGGTATAATAACGATATTAATATTATACCTATATTATATAATATAATTTTAGTTCGATTCAAAAACATAAAACATCGGCGGTCTCTTTTAGGGCGTTTTTGTTTATGCCGCTATAAGTACCGACAAATCTTTTGCTGACGAATTACGAATTACGAATGAAAAAGCTGCCGCTCAACGCAATCTTTATTACCGCCTAGTCCTAGTCGAAAGTATTATTGTGAATTTTATAATTTCTTTTTACAATTGCAATCGTCCGAACTCCAAATTCTAACTTAAGGACCTTAAGTTAAGGTAAGTTATAATTATTAATTAATATAATATTTTTGTATATGTTACGGCTAATGTGCAAACTTGGATAGTTTATAAACTAGCCAAACTGTCAGCTATTTTAATTGAAAGTTGTTTATTTTTATTAATTATTATTTATTTTGTTCGCTGTTCCTTAAAAGCTGAGTTTTTTTATTTTTTTGTTGTGTTATTAATTTCAGTTAGAAATTTTGTTTAAGTATCGTTTAAATATATTTTTAGTTGTTTGTACCTACTAAATAATTAATAATGTATGTTTTTTTAAATAAATATTTATTTATTTTTTTAGATTTATTATTAGAACAATTTTTTAATTGATTAATTAAAAATTAAATTTTTTTATCATAAACCTGAAGGTGTCAAAGGTAAGTAGAAACATTCTTATTGAAAAGTTATATAGGATATTGATATGGGGGCGAAGTTTTGCTTGGGCCTTGGGGCCCCACTAAGTCAAAAATAGGCCCTGGCCACTGGCCCACTGTTGGACGCAGCCCATCGTAGACAGCGCTTGGAATTTGCGCGAACCCATGTCAATTGGGGTATGGTTGAATGGAGTCGTGTTCTCTTTACGAATGAGTCCCGTTTCACCAGATACTCACCTGATCGTCGACAACATGTGTTTAGACGACCTGGAGTGCTGCTTCTCTCCCAGAGTACAGTTTGGCGGAGGCATTTCTTTGGAGGCTCGTACGGCACTTGTAATTTTTCAAGGGCGTAGTATAAACGCTGACAGTTACATAAGAGAGTATCTTGATGAACATGTGGTACCTTATGCACCATTTATTGGAGACCAATTCTTACTTATGCAGGATAATGCTCGGCCGCACACAGCCCAGGTAACGCGTCAGTACCTTCACGACGTTGGTATTCAAGTTCTGGGCTGGGCACCTAGAAGTCCTGACCTGAATCCCATTGAGCATGTGTGGGATAACCTAGGTAGAGTTTCACACACTGATTCAATTGGAAGAAGCGCTATTGTTTGAATGGGAGTAGATACCTCAGGGATATGTTGCTGCTTTAATTCAAAGCATGCCTGAAAGGCTAAGAGCTGTCATTCGAGCTAGAGGTGGAAATACTCGCTACTAGGGCATGTTTTTGGATTATGTTTTTTTAATAACGTATATTAGTTTGTTTTATTTTTCAAAAATGTTTTTTAAAAATAAATAAAAAATATTTTTTTAATTTTTTCTGGTTAAAAATGTTTAATAATAAAGGATTTATTAAAAATAATTAAACTTTGTTTATATTTTCCCGAAGTGTCCGGTTAATTTTGCGGTCAAGTGTATTTTCTTTCCAAAATTCGGTCTATTATTTCTCCTTACTAATATATATTTTTTCTTATGAGCTAGTACAGAGAGGTGGAGAAGCGGTAGCATGTTAGTAAAAACCAATGATCAAACTTTTACAGGGAGAATCATAATCAATCCAAATCAAATCAAATTAAAAACATTTATTTTTATATTAAATACATTTATATAATAAACATATTGTATTGGGCCGCCGAATAAAATCCGGTATTTTGTAAGACTGCACACGGATGATCTAAAAGGATTTTAAAAAATGAGGAAGATCTAAGCATTTTTCCAGTAAGGCTATTTAAAATTTTTCTTGAAAAAATATTTAAATAAATAATATCTGAAAAATTTATTTATGACCTACGGTCTCGCATTTTTAAAAGATGACATTTTTTAAATCGAATTGCTAGGCAACAAACTTAAAAAAAACAAAAATTTATCCGGCTGAAAAAATCTCTTGTTTAATTAAATCGGAGTCAAAGAATACTACAAGTGCAAAAAGATAGTTTAGCGAAAACTTTTGAAAACATAAAAATTCCACAGTTCATGTCCTACCCTTGTAGTGTTTTTCATCCTAACGCTGCGGCTAAAACTACCTACGCGCAGTGCTCGGATATATCCGAATATATTCGAAACCGTGTCGACATGCTTACTCTATCTTGCCTGATCTGCTCGCGCCGTCACACAGTGGGAGGAATTTCAAAAATCGCGGACAAAATTAGGGACACATCATTTTAAGCCCTTTTAAGGTTTATGCGGTGGTAAATTTATGCTAAAATATTAATATTAATAAAATGTTTTAATTATGTACACAAATTCACAAATTTGTTTTAAACAATTTGGAAAAGTTCGGTTTTGTCGATCCTCCATTCTCCAAAAATATAAATTAATAAACAAATATATAACGCAATATTACCTAAGCTAAAACAACTAAGGAACATTCGAGCAAAATCACTTATATAGGTACATTTTTTTCGATACATCTTTTCTTTGTCAATTTCGCATCTTTAGCTTTATTTATATCGACTATTAAAGTGACTTGGTCCAAAAAACCCTATATCGATGTTAAAATTACATTTAAAAGTTGACTTTAAAGGAAAACCGATTAAATCCACGTTTTTTTACCTATAGGTTATAACCTAGTCGGAGGATTTACTGATAAATCATTTAAAAAGCATTTATCATAAATGCTTTTTACCTTGTACAATAACTTCTGCTAATTAATGTAACTTTTTTTTGTTTCATTTTATTTTTGCACTAATATGTGTACTTTTAAATATATAGATATATTTTTTGATACTTTTTTACATTTATTATTGTTTTGCAGCAAACCCGACCAGATCCATTTTTTTTTAATTTTAGCCTTAGTATGAAAAATATGCCTTGTCAATTAAATATATTAATGCCCAACTATTAAGTTATAAAGACAAGAAAATGAAAAGTTTTTGTCGTTTCCTCAACATTTTCCCAAAATAGAGGTAGCTGGTTTTGTTCGGAGGCTCTTATAAATTCTTATAAATCAATTACTTTAGTATATTAATTTTTTAATTTTTGCTAAATTTATTTTTGATAAACTAAGAAACAATAAAAAGTTTAATAACATTGGAGCCCAATAATCAAAGCAACCTTTAAATTTAATTTTCATCCTCCTGTTCCACCAGGTTATTTAAAGGGGGGTTAACCAGAAGATTTTGTACTTCCAAGGGCAAAGATCGGGGAGGTCTAGGTGGAATTTTGCGATTGGATGAAATTACAGGGTCTGAGGATATTATCAAGCGACTAAAAAGGTCCTGCATTGTAGCTACCCTGTTAAAAAAACTGATAAAAATATTAAGAAAAATAATAAAAAAATGCCTTGATAACTTCCTTGTATTGTGTTCTTTGAAATCCCTAATAAATTTATTTAGTCCTTCCTGTGCTTCTTCTGAAAGCGGACCGATAGGCAAGGGAGCATTTTTAATAATTTCTCCACTGTGAATAAGAATTTTGTGGACCGAGCTAGGCATTTTGTACCATCCATATAGTAAAACAAATAATTTTGCTGTTTCTAGACAGTACTCTTGGAACTTTGGTACATTAATGTCGAAACCAGTTGACAATGTTATAAGGATGATTGAGAAGCGTCTAATTAGATCTTCATTAATTTCAGTTATTTCTGAAGTTACTTTTAAGTGTTCAAAAAAGCGACGAGACGTGTTACCATTATTAGTCGTACCCATTCCTTGCTTTACTACATCTATAAGTAGCCACTTTTCTTTCATATCTTTTTGAATTTTAAGATTGCGAGCTTTTAAACTTTCGTTTTGAGGAATTGTTGCAGCTTGCCAAGACTTAAATTCTAAGCGGTAAGCTACATAAAGCAAGCATTCCATAAAACTAAAAAAAAATTCAAGCACAAAAATTCTTATTTTAATTTAAATTCCTTAGGATTTATCGGTACCGTATATGAGCGTGAAGAGTTGAGAGACCATACTGATAATTAGAAACAATGACATGTCTTTGAACAACTCTGTCAATATCATTCATTTCTCGGGGGTATGCCCCACAAACATTACATCGTTGGTTTGAAATTCCTGTTACTGCAGAGCAAACCTTTAATAATCAAGAAAATTATAGAACGTAAGGAATGCCTGTAAGTGCATAATATAAATTATGAATAGATATTTATCTTTCCATCAATCATAGTGAATAAAAGTTTATGAGTAATTCGCAACTCTCTGTCAGTACCAATAGAACATAAGGTGGGAGTAAGTGCACTAATTTGTTCCTCTATATATGTCCTTTCTTTCATTGATTCGTTTGTAGATTCTTTTTTTATTTGGATACGTATAGGTCTGCAGTACCTGGTTGATGACTGCCTTGGGTTTTGCCAAACAATTATTTTCTGACTGGTAATTTTATTAATACAATTAAGTTTCAGTGGAACAAGAGCTGTAAGGAAGATATATTCATCTGACGCATTTGAATCACTGCTTATAACTTGGATGGTTGGAGCTTCCATCAAAGCCCCACTTGCTTATCAGTTCTAAGTCACTCATATTCTGAATTGTATGAAGTACAGGGCTTTGCAACTTAACGATGCGGTTTGTTGTGTGGTCAAGTAAGCTTTGTAATTTAACGTCTGCCGATGCTTCATTAAAAGTCCTTTCTTGTGGATAACACTCTTTTTTAGCCTCTTTTACTTTATCATATGAAGGGTAAATATTTGCATTTCTTTCTTTGGCACCTTTTCGAAGTTTTAAATAGGCGTCTTTTGACAGACCGTGATCAATTATGAGTGCAAGAGCCTCTTTAAGTGTATATGGAATTATGTTCCCGCGCCCAACAGGCTTATTCCTTAAACTATCTAAAAATCCCTCGATTACTTGCGCTGCAGCCTCTTGTCCCTCGGATCGCAAGTTCATTTTAGCGGCATAGGCTAATTTTTCGCCAGACGCCTCTTTACGCAAGACTTCTACTTTTCTACGTTTGGATCTCTTGCAGCACTCTTTAAATGGCTTTTCTGGTCGACCGACAAATATTGATGTTGTCAGAGAAGATGGAGGAGGTGGAATATTTGCATTTGTTAAAAGCCAATTTAAATACTTATTTTCAAAATGTGGTGCAAATCTTCGACACAGTGTCCATTTTTTTTAAGTTTTTCAGAAAATGTACTCTTAGCCATACAGAAATTGTATTTATATAAGATTTATCATTAATATCCAGGTTTTTGGTTAGGTACTTTAAAAGTTTGTTGTGTTTTTCTTTGTTACTAACATTTTTAATAAGTACATACAACTCCTTATTAGTCGTTGATAGCATTTCTACATACAAAGAAGCAAGTTATTCAAATAAACATATAAACTGTAATATTTATATTAATATTAATAGTCACTCGAAACTGACGTTTTAGAACTAGCAAAAGGCAACTATGATGACTTATAAATATTCGACTAATATGATAAATTCATGGACATATTTCATATTCTGCTGACCAAACAGGCAAAAAAAGGCAGCTTAATTCTTTTGACTTTAAAAAAAGAAAATTTGATGAACGTTTTGGTACCAAATACTTTGCCTCACACCAAGACACACCTAAAGAAATATCTTCTGGTTTGTAAAAGATTTATCTACTTTGAAAGGCGATGGTAAAAGGTTTATAAAAACCGTATTTTTGGTAAAATTTGCAATTTTAGACTTTTATATGTAAGAACAGAGTAAGGAATGTGGTAAAATATACCATCATTTCTTTTCATTAATTACGCAAAACAAATATGGGCTTGAAAAACTTACATACAATTTGCTCTAAAAAACCGACACGAACAATGTGACTTTTTAAGCAAGTTTAAGCGGGCATTTTATCATTAAAAAATATATTTCGTTTAAAATCATAATCTCTGGGCTTTCTTTTCCTATAACTCGCAATTTAAAATTTAGTATGTTGATTTTTACAAAATAGGGTTTAGTCCGCGATTTTTGAAATTCCTCCCAGTGTGCGTCAGTGGGCTATACGGGGTTAAGGTAGTTGAATCAAGTATCGGTACATTTTTCGTTTTTGCGTTCGAAAATTTGTTTTTAGTTATCCAGGGTGTTATGCCGACGGTGGACGAGTGGTTAGTGCTGCTGACTACAAGCCGGAGGTCGTGGGTTCGAATCCCACCAGGGGTATGGCTGTTTATTTGTGTTTGTCTTATTGTGTAATAGTCCTTCGGAGGGGACTTTAAGCCCGCGGTCCGTTCCTACCCCTAACCCGCACAAGCCATTCAGTTGGCTTATGGCACTTCTTAAGAAGTAAGGGTGGAACTAAAAGAGCACTTTTGTATAAAAGAGCACTTTTGTATGTAATTAATGATATATATTAAAATACTGAATACCTTCTGACATAAGGAGTAAAGGAAAAATATTTAAAAAAATATTTTTCCAAAGATAAAGAAAAAGTATGCATTAGAAGTTTTTTATATTTTTTGTGATACGCCACTGGTTACATACTTGGTTTATCTCTGCACACTTGTGTTCTGTGAGTACATAGATACCAACCAACAAAGTAGCTGCGCGTTGCCAGATGTAAAAAATTGTTACTAAAAATTTTTCTTGCAAAAAATAAATAAAAACTCAATAAATACAAAATTTTTATGCCCTTAAAGCTCTAATACCCTTTTGTATTTATTTACTCATCCACCTATTAGCTTAAGCAATGATTAGAAAATTTAGTACCTATTTCAAAAAATCCATAAGGGGCCGTTCATAAATTACGTCACGCAAATTTTGATCTTTTTTGAACCCCCCTCCCCCCTTGTCACATGTTGTCACGTTTAATGACCTTCCCCTAAATAAATTACGTCACAAATTGTAACCCCCCCATTTAGAACAGGATGTATTCAGAAAAATAAATTTTAATAAATTCTTTTAACATAACAAAAATGAGTTCTTCTTAAAATTAATTCATTCATTCATCAATTTTAAGTCCATCATTATTTTTATTACAAAGGGGCAGTGGGGGCGGCAATAAAAACCAGAGATAAAAACTGACATCAATGATTACAACCACGGTCTTATAAGACCGAATAAGACCGTCATTACAACAAACACAAAACATTACATACACATAGAAAAAAGTTCAGCTGATTTTGACATTTTAACAGGGAATAGAGATTGGTTAACGTTATGTCACCTTTTTTTACTGTTCGTAGTGTTATAACCCAGAATCTCTCCTAGAACCCTGAGTCACAAAATCCCGCTAGCTCAGATGGTCGTGGGTGAATGTTCTTCGTAACTACTACTTACCTTTGAATTTACAAACAAAAATTGGGCACCAAGTAATTTTTTTGTGGCACAAGAATAAAAGAAATTACTAAAAAAAAAATTAAGTGTATTTTTACACACAGTTGTTATAAACCCTTAAGTCAGATCTCGTAGGTACAGTTATTTAAAGATACTTAATATACTCTGGCAACTTGGCAACAGTGTATCGTTTAGTGACTTGCAGTTGTTTATTGAATAAATTAGTATTATAGACTATAAATGAAGAAATTTTTATACTGTGGATCTTGCAGTAAGTGAAGTTTTGGTTTCTGGAGCTAATTGGTTTTCCTAAATTAAGTGTTATTTATAATTAACCTCTAATTACTCTTCAAGCCTGTGCGGATAAAATAGGAGCGACGTTGCCAGATTTTTAATATTTCTCCTGCTTCAAGAATTGCCGTTAAACATGCCTTCTAAAGTTCAACCAGTTTCTTGCCAGACATGTGCTCACCTTACTGAAGTAATAAGTGAGCTAAAAAGTACCATTGAAGCATTAAAGGTTAAAATGCAATCCCTTCAAAACTCATTTGATAACTCGACAACCAAATCTGGATTTGATTTCGAAGAAATTGTCCAGGAAGTAAACGAAAGAAATCTCAGGAAGTCCAATATAATTATTTATGGAATACCGGAACAGGACTCTTCCATTTCAAGCAGTGACCGTTGTAATCTGGACAAATCAAAGATTTCAGAAGTACTGCAGCATCTGATTCCCAACATAACCGTCGATACAGCTAAACCAATTAGATTGGGGAAATTTGATGCAACAAAGGAACTACCTAGACCAATTAAAATCAAGTTACAGGATGAATCTCAAGTTTTTCGACTTTTATCTAAGTGAAAGGTGTTACGGGAAAATCCACTCTACTCTTCAATTAGAATCGCTTCTGACCGTACCCCTAAGCAACTCAACTACTTTAATTCCGTGAAGACTGAATTAAATGATCGAATTTCAAAAGGCGAGTCCAATCTGACCATAAAATATAATCGTGGTATACCAAAAATTTGTAATTTAAACTAAATTTGCCCAAAGAAAAGATCAAGACTGCATATGTGATATTCTACCAAAATGTTCGAGGCTTAAATACAAAAATTGATGAACTCTACTCTAATTTATATGTTAACTTTGATTATAATTTTGTAGCACTTACAGAAACATGGTTCTCAGCCAATGTATCTTCTAGTGAGATATTTTCACCTCAATTGTATCAGGTTTTTCGTAGGGATAGAAATTTTATTTCATTGAATGTAAACACAGGTGGTGGTGTATTACTAGCATGTAAAACTGATTATGATTTAGATCAGGTGAATTTATCGTTAATTTATGATAATGTCCCTATGGTGGATATAGTTGGATGTAAATGCACGATTAATCATGATAAGTTTTATATTTTTGTTACTTATATTCCCCCACAAATTACTGTTGAAAACTTTGAATTGTTTTTTGAACTATTTGAACAAACTACAACAAACCTGGTGAATGTTATTATAATTGGTGATTTTAATATTTCTAATATGCAGCCTAATAACCGTAAATATGTTAATTATCAAAATTATTGTAATTTTCAAAATATTTCTCAATTTAATGATATTCATAACAGGTATGGCGGTTTACTAGATCTTGTTTTGAGTGATCTCATGGATGTTTGTGTCTATGAGGCTGTACCTCTGGTAGATATGGACAACTATCATCCCCCTCTAAGCATACGTTTTGAATTTTTAGAAAATAAATATACTAACTTTAGCAGTTGTCCGAATAACAAGGCTTACAATTTTAAAAGGAGTAATTTTCCAGATCTTTACAATGCTATTTTAAATCATGATTGGTACTTTGAAAGCAATGATGCTAACTTGGCTTGTGATATGTTTTACAAAGATCTTTATACTATCATAGATCGGTACGTTCCTAAATATATTTCTAAAAATAAAAAATATCCTAGATGGTATTCGTATGAACTAATTCAAAGTTTAAAACTTAAGGATTATTACTTTAAACATTTTCGCATGTTTGGTAGTCAATATTATCACACTCAGTTTAAAAAACAACGCACGTTGGTAAAGAGATTAACTAAAGATTGTTATCAGGTACACTTAAATCAGATAGAGTCTAGCCTACAGTCTGATCCCAACAAATTTTGGTCATATGTAAATTCAAAGAAAAGTAGCTCGCGTATCCCAGGCAAAATGTTTTCTGGCGATAGTCTTTTAGAATCGCCACAGGAAATTGTTGATGAATTTTCTAATTATTTCAGTAGCGTATACTTAAAGCCTCATGATCAAAATAACATTTCCTCATCTACTTGTAATATTATTCAAAGTATACATATACCTGAGTTTACTGAAGACGATATCCTTGGAGCGTTTCGAAAACTAAAATGTGGTTTTACTGCCGGTGATGACTTAATTCCAGCATTTTTAATTAAGGATTGCTCTCATACCTTTGTAACGCCAATGTTAAAGATATTTAATCTTATATTAAGAACTTCTGAATTTCCAAGTGTCTGGAAGTTAACTCGTGTGACACCTGTGTTTAAATCTGGTGAAGCTGCGAACATTGCTAATTACAGACCAATAGCAATATGGTCCAGTTTTGCGAAGGTCTTTGAGATCTGTTTATATAGCC